TATTATTATTATTATTATTATTATTATTCTTTCAACACACCGGCTGTATCCCACCGAGGCAGGGTGGCCCAAAAGGAAAAACAAAAGTTTCTCCTTTTACATTTAGTAATACAGTAATTTAGTATATACAGGAGAAGGGGTTACTAGCCCCTTGCTCCCGGCATTTTAGTTGCCTCTTACAACACGCATGGCTTACTGAGGAAGAATTCTATTCCACTTCCCCATGGAGATAAGAGGAAATAAACAAGAACAAGAACTAGAAAGAAAATAGAAGAAAACCCAGAGGGGTGTGTATATATATGCTTGTACATGTATGTGTAGTGTGACCTAAGTGTAAGAAGAAGTAGCAAGACATACCTGAAATCTTGCATGTTTATGAGACAGACAAAAGACACCAGCAATCCTACCATCATATAAAACAATTACAGGCTTTCATTTTACACTCACTTGGCAGGACGGTAGTACCTCCCTGGGCGGTTGCTGTCTACCAGCCTATACCTACAATTATTATTATTATTATTATTATTATTATTATTACAATATAAATAATTTGTAATTTTTCACACAAAAAATATAAGATTTACTGTTATGCCTTATTGCAATAATTGTATAAATAATGTCAACCCATTCATGACTGCATGTTGGACATAGGCAAGCAAACGAGCATTTCTCCCTCAAGCTCAATTTCAAGGTACTTTTCTTCATGAAAGCAATCAAAATTATATCTATTTCTGTAATATATCTTCCATTCTATCAAATGAGACCAAAAAAATGAGAATACAGTCATAAAAACCATACGAAAATACTGCAAAGGGGTGGCTAATTGCTGAGAAGTGAACTCCATTATTTATGCTCCAATTTCTTTCATTTTTGGTGTACATTAAAAAGCATCTTTCCATCATACATTGCCCAAGTTTCAATAAGATAGTCCAAAAAACAAATGAGATACAATTCCCTAGATCCAGAGCAAGAGCCCCTCACCAGTGTCTAGGAACCTCCCTTGAGGTTTGCTTGCTTATGGAAATTTTGCTCGCATATGGAAGCAAAAAATCAACCCATCGACTGCTCGTATTTGGAAAAACTCGCACGTGGATGCGCTCGCAAGTAGAGGTTCCACTGTACAGCGGGACCCTGCTTATTGGCCATAATCCATACCAGAAGGTTGGCCTCAGTTCGAAATAGCCTAAAACCGAATCATTATTTCCCATAAGAAATAATGTAAATGCAATTACAGTAATCCATTCCAGACACCCAAAAGTATTAACAAAAAATATAGTTACTTAGATACAGTTACATAGATCATCATACATAGCAGTTACATAGATTATCATACATAGCAGCATATGTGTTGAGAACCTAGGATACCCCAAAAGGTCAGACAGAGTGACTTATTTCCATTGTGTTTCTATGTTTATATTGTTTATTACGAGTTTTCTTGAATTCTATCGTGCTTCTCACCATCTTTACCAAAGGGCTGGCACTCTGAACTTTCTGTGGCCCCATGATTGCTTATTTCACAGTTGCAATCAGCAATAAACCACCTGAAACAATGGATGAAGCCTCAAAGTTTTCCTAATCCAATGAGAGGGACGCTCAGACTGAGTGTGATACGCATGAGGAAGAACATCACCGGTTGGTGGTGACACGTCTCGTATGGCTTATTTCCGAGAGCATGGCCGATATCCAAAGCAAAATTTTGCCGATAAAAGTGCTCGATTTCTGAATCAGCCAATTTCCGCGACAGCCTATAACCGGGGTTCCACTGTGTTTATTTATATTAGTCTCCTAGCTGCCTTAAGTTCTACTTAGATGTGCCTCCTAATTAAACTTTAAGTTGGTTAATTTGAATTATCTTTTCTCATGTTTACATTGGAGTCAGTAAATGTAATTGCTTCTACTGTATCACTCTGAAGCATAATCACACTGAATAGAGAAGGCAACAGTAAGGCTTACTGGGCCCTGGAAATTTATTTAACCCTTTGACTGTCACAAGCCCCTTTCTGAAATTGTCATTCTATGTCGAAAAATATTTGAAAAAAAAAAAAAAATTCTTTTGGAATGATAGAGAATCTTTTTCCCAATGCTAATGTCATGAAAAGTATGAAATTTGAATGAAAACTTATGGAATTACGCTCCCACGAGCTTAGCGATCGCGGCGATATATATGCATTGGCGATTTCACAGATTTAGAGCCCTATTTTCAGTCAATTCCATTGTTCCAGTCGACCAAACTCCTAGCAATTTCTTTGGAACTCCATTTTTTCTATCAATTGAGTACAAAAAACTGCTGCTTTACCAAATTTAGCTACCCAATAAAGTGGTCAGAAATTGGCAATTTGGCCAATTTTGCACAAATTAAAAAATTCTCATTATGCACTGCAGCACGCAGTGCATAATGAGAAGAAAAACCTCTGTGTTTTTTAATTTAAACGCTGACTTTGAGGTGTATTTTCATATAGAATTTATGGTTGTATTCTCGTTTTCTTGGTCTCATTTGATAGAGTGAAAAACATATTACAGAAATAGTGGTGATTTTGATTAGTTTCCCGACGAAAACGACCTTGAAATTGAGCTCAAAGTAGCAGAAATGTTCGCTTTTTTTACCAATGTTCAAGAGTAAACAAGTCACACCACACGTCCAATACATGTCAACAGGGGAGTCTAATATTCTTTCACTAGTGCACTGATATTATTTATACCATTTTTACAATAATGCAGTAGTCTGCATAACAGTAAATCTTCTAATTTTTTGTGTGAATAAAAAATCAAAATAGAAAACGAGAGTAATATAAGAGGGGCCTGGAGACACTACTAATGAACAGAGGATATGTTATTTTAGTGCCAAGAATGTCTGCATGGTTTATTTCAAAATAGGGTCCAGAATAAACAATGCAGACATTCTTGGCACTAAAATAACATATCCTCTGTTCATTAGTAGTGTCTCTAGGCCCCTCTTATATTACTCTCATTTTCTATTTTGATTTTTTATTCACACAAAAAATTAGAAGATTTACTGTTATGCAGACTACTGCATTATTGTAAAAATGGTATAAATAATATCAGTGCACTAGTGAAAGAATATTAGACTCCCCAGTTGACATGTATTGGACGTGTGGTGTGACTTGTTTACTCTTGAACATTGGTAAAAAAGCGAACATTTCCGCTACTTCGAGCTCAATTTCAAGGTCGTTTTTGTCGGGAAACTAATCAAAATCACAACCTATTTCTGTAATATGTTTTTCACTCTATCAAATGAGACCAAGAAAACATTAATACAACCATAAATACTATACTATACGAAAATACACCTCAAAGTTGGCGTTTAAATTAAAAGAACAGTTTTTTTTTTCTCATTATGCATTGCGTGCTGCAGGATTTTTTTTATACAGTGCACACTGACCACACAGATTCATTCTCTCACATGTGGGCCTTCCAGCTTTCTGCTTGATTTGAAGCCACTAGAATTATTGAGTATATATACGTCAGAAACACTGGCTTGTAAGACGTATATACAGTGGACTCTCGACCAACGATGGCATCGTCTAACGTTAAATCCAACTAGCGATACATTTTAACGCAAAAATTTTGCCTCGACTAGTGCTAAAAAACTCTACCAACACGATTCGTTTCGTCTGAGACGCGTCCACTTCTGGCCAGTGTTTACAAGCCAACCAGCCACCGCGGTCCCATCCAAATATACAATCGGAACATTTCATATTATCACAGCGTTTTTAGTGATTGCACCTGCAAAATAAGTGACCTTGGGCCCCAAGAAAGCTTCTAGTGCCAACCCTACAGCAAAAAGGGTGAGAATTACTGTGGATATGAAGAAAGAGATCATTGCTAAGTATGAAAGTGGAGTGCGTGTCTCCGAGCTGGCCAGGTTGTACACAAAACCCCAATCAACCACCGCTGCTATTGTGGGCAAGAAAACGGCAATCAAGGAAGCTGTTCTTGGCAAAGGTGCAACTATGTTTTCGAAACTGAGATCGCAAGTGATAGAAGATGTTGAGAGACTGTTATTGGTGTGGATAAACGAAAAACAGATAGCAGGAGATAGCATCTCTCAAGCGATCAAATGTGAAAAGGCTAGGAAGTTGCATGAGGATTTAATTAGAAAAATGCCTGCAACTAGTGGTGATGTGAGTGAATTTAAGGCCAGCAAAGGTTGGTTTGAGAGATTTAAGAATCGTAGTGGCATACATAGTGTGATAAGGCATGGTGAGGCTGCCAGTTTGGACCAAAACGCAGCTGAAAAATATGTGCAGGAATTCAAGGAGTTCATAGACAGTGAAGAATTGAAACCTGAACAAGTGTTTAATTGTGACACTGACAATGTTGTGAAATACTTTAGGAATGTCATAAAGGAACGGGAGGTATAGGCCTCTATGGACAGATATGTTGTGCGACAGAGGTCCAGTGACTCTCAAGCTGGTCCTAGTGGCATTAAAAGAAGAAGGGAAGTAACCCCGAAAAAGGACTTGCCACCTTAAGTCCTAATGGAAGGGGATTCCCCTTCTAAACACTAAGACCATCAACACACTCCCCTCCTCCCATCCCATCAGTCATCACCAGATCTTCAATAAAGGTAAGTGTCATGTAACTGTGCATGTCTTCTTGAGTTTGTGTGTATTAAAATTAATATTTCATGTGGTAAAAATTTTTTTTTTCAATACTTTTGGGTTTTTTGCACGGATTAATTTGATTTCCATTATTTCTTATGGGGAAAATTAACTCGACTAACGATAATTTTGATTAACGATGAGCTCTCAGGAACGGATTAATATCGTTGGTCGAGGGTCCACTGCATACGGCTGAAACAGTCAAAGGGGTTAATAGTAATGAAGAAAATAACTTGACCCAGGGAAAGATGTTCAATTAAATTTTTTTTTTAAATTGCCTACAGATTTACCAATTAATAATGGTGATTTGCTATTCTTATTATTATGATTTTTTACTTTAAAAATATTATTTGAAATTTACACATTTATGATCTACAGCCAAACCTGGTAGCATCTCATCGTATGTATATGAGCAAAGTAGATGTGACTGAGTTGAGTGACTGCTGTAGTGGTCGGGGTGATACACTCACCTTATTCCTGTTCAACGATGTTTTGGAGGTAGGTGAAGTTGACTTTAAAATTGCATCAATAAATTAATTTACACACAGACGTGTATAACCTTCAGTATTTATCAGTAGTGGAATTTAGTATCCCACCTCTCATTCTCCTGGCCCTGCCCCCCTTCTCATGTTTATATTGACTATCTTCCCTTTGCACTTCTGTGTGACTAGTTAATGTTCCAAGTCAGACCGAAAGGTCATCATAAGTTTCATTTTCCTCTGCAGGTTATTTGTGTTGTGTACCTAATAACATTTAAATAGGTTGTCTTACACCAATGACCGTCTCCCGCCAAGGCAGAGTGACCCAAAGGAGAAAACACATTCACCATCATTCATACAATCACTGTCTAGCCAGAAGTGTGCTGACATCATAGTTCAGCTTACCCGCCAACTACAACATCTTCACCTCTCCTTCAGAGTGGAAGCTCTGCACTTCCCACCATCAGGGCTGGAGTCCAGCTAACCAGTTTCCTTGAATTTTTTCATAAATGTTTTCTTGCTCACACTTCAACAGCATATCAAGTCATAAAAATCACTTCCCTCCACTTCTATCTAATACACACACACAAGCCTGCTGGATGCCCAAGCCTGTAGCACTCAAAAGCACTTTTACCCCCTCTCTTCAACTGTTCCTGAGACAACCCTACCTTACTTTCCTTCCACCCCAGATTTACACACCTTCCTGGTCATCCTATTTTGCTTCATACCTTAAATATCCAAATTGCCTCAACAACCCCTCTTCAGCCTTAGAACAGTACTTTTGGTAACCCCCATACCTGCTAATCTCTGAGCTTTGAATTCATGATTTAGGAATTTTAATATAGAAATTCCTAATATTTAAAGAGCATGACAAAGCAAATGTAGGTAATTCCAGATAGTAATAGCCAGCATGATCAGGTGGTCAATGTGAAAATCTGGTTACGTGCCTGGCTGAGGATGTAGAAAATTTTTCAAAACTGGTTCCTGAAGTATCATGCCTAAACTGAATTACATCTCTGTAAGACACTTGCAACATAGTTAGTTTAACTATAAAACATTTTTGTTCACTAATGTGCACTTAGTTTATTATCAGCTTATTTCTGAAGCTTAATTTAAACTTTATCTTAAACTACATGTCTAAGATTGCTGAAGGTGCTTCAGCTAGTTATGATTTTTCCATGGATTCTGAAGCTATTTTATTTCTCTGTTTCTAGCATTCTTAAAGTCTTATTTGTCGTCACCTCTGGTATTACGTACTTTCACAATTTGAAACCTCCCTCTGTACAATTTTTTTTTTTTTCAACAAATCGGCCATCTTCCACCGAGGCAGGGTTGACCCAAAAGAAAATAAAAAATCCCCAAAAAGAAAATACTTTCATCATCATTCAACACTTTCACCTCACTCATACATAATCACTGTCTTTTCAGAGGTACTCATATACGACAATTGAGAAATCCCTACAAATTGTCAATATCCCAAACCCCTCCTTTGAAGTGCAGGCATTGTACTTCCCATTTCTAGGACTCAAGTGCAGCTAACCAGATATTTCCCTAAATCCCTTCACTAAATATTACCCTTCTCACACTCCAACAGCTCGTCAGGTCCCAAAAACCATTCATCTCCATTCACTTCTATCTAATATGCTCACACACGCTTGCAGGAAGTCCAAACCCCTCGCCCACATAACCTCCTTTACTCCCTCCCTCCAACCTTTCGAGGACTACCCCTACCCCTCCTTCCTTTCCCTACAGATTTATAAGCTCCAAGTTATTCTACTTTGATCCATTCTCTCTAAATGACCAAACCACCTCAACAGCCCCTCTTCAACCCTCTGACTAATACTTCTAGTAACTCCACACCTCCTAATTTCCACATTAAGAATTCTCTGGAATAATATTTGCACCACACATTGCCCTTAGACACGACATCTTCACTGCCTCCAGCCTCCTCCTCACTGCAGCATTTAAAACCCATGCTTCACACCCATATAAGAGTGTTGGTACCTCTATACTCTTGTACATTCCCTTCTTTGCCTCCATGGATTACGTTTTCCTTTGTTTCCACAGATACCTCAGTGCACCACTCGCCTTTTTACTTATGGTTAACCTCAGCCTTCATAAACCCATCTGCTGACAGATCAACTCCCAAATATCTCAAAACATTCACTTCTTCCATACTCCCTCTCTCCAATGTGATGTCCAATTTTTCTTTATCTAAATTGTTTGATACCCTCACCACCTTACTCTTATCTATGTTCACTTTCAACTTTCTTATTTATATAAGAAGAAATATTTTGTCTTGGCACTTGATGTTTATATTAAAATTTATGTATTTTCAGATATGTAAAAAGAAGAGTAAATACAACAGTATCAAAAGCCCTAGTAGAGCCAACTTACATAATTTTAAAACCATCAAAACCTACAAACATCTTGAAATGATGAACTTAGCACATATCAAGAGAATTGTTGACATTCGGGAAACTGAAGGTTAGTATAGTGATGCACTTTATGGAAGTTTTTCCCTCTCTTCTCTACTTCGTGCACGCTTTCATAACTGTACACTTAATTACCAGTATCTGCAATTGGCTGCACAACCTCACAAAATGACTGATAAAAGAGAGCTTGCTTTTTTCCATGAATGGGAACTAATTTGATTAAATGCAACACTTAAGTATTTTCATACTAAACAAATCTGCAGTGGCTCTTTATCTAGATATATTTCTAAGGACATCTTCTAAGTTTAAATATTCATGCTTTTATCATAAAAGCCACAGTAGTCATGTATCTACTGGGCTACTATTAGCACCCCAGTAATTAATCCATAAATCACCTGAGGAAAACTTTGATCCTATCCCCAACAGTTTTAATTATGAAATTCACATTCTTAACCAAATAGAAACCCACCACACCTTTATCATACTCTTACACACCAGAGATAAATGTAACTGAAATAAAAATGTGGGAGACATAAAAGTTGGCAAGGACAGTGGATTACATGTACTACACCAGAGCATGTGTTATGGCTGACAGTCCCTTCCCTCCTCACTCTTCCACTTAATATGACATTATCAGCCCCTTGCATGTATTATAATATGCTTTACAGACAGTTCAGAGATGTGGAGGAATGTTGTGATGGGTGAAGTGTTGGATTTAGTGTAAGGGAGAGAATGGAGGCATGTTCACTGTTGAGGGTGGTGGTGGTGTGGTCTGCATTCTTATCAGCTAGTAATTTCTCTCCATAACATTTGCTTACCAAAGGCAGTTGCTTATTCAAATCAAAATGCACTACAGTAATTACTACAAAGAGCAGTAAGGTAGCAAGAAAAATACATGTATTGCATTTTGTGGGATGTGTGGTAATGGTTATTCAGTGCTCTCACTTGAGTTTACAGAGTGGGAGTGAACTGGAGCTAACCCCCTGGTTGGTGACTATGGCCCCACTGATAATGAGACTTAAACACAGGTGATACCCAGATGAATTGTCTGTACAACTTTTATTTCTTACTATCTTGTATGAGGGCCCAAAATGTTATGCTTAGCCATGCCTTACTTTGGGACATTAGTCATAAGCACTGCCTCCCTCCCTCCTTCACACACTGCCTCCCACAGATTTTTTTTTTTTTTTTTTTTTTTTTTTACCCTCAAGGGAGGCTCTTTGATGGCAGAGAAGGGCACTTTCTTAGTCTTTGAATCAAACTTGATTACCTCCCCTTTCCCTCAAATGCTGTATAAAATCTGCAGGTTTAGGACTCTCCCCCATCCCCCAACTATAATAATCTTAGTTGCTACTATCTTAGATATATGGTTGTTTGATAAAGATGTGATAGGTTGCTATTTGGTACAATTTGGTCAATATAGGTAGTAGGTTGGTAGACAGCAACCACCCAGGGAGGTACTACCGTTCTGCCAAGTGAGTGCAAAACAAAAGCCTGTAATTGTTTTACATGATTGTAGGATTGCTGGTGTCTTTTGTCTGTCTCATAAATATGCAAGATTACAGGTACGTCTTGCTATTTATACTTACACTTAGGTCACACTAAACGTACATGTACACGTTTATTTATACACACTCATCTGAGTTTTCTTCGATTTTATCTTAGTTCTTGTTCTAATTACTTTTTCTTTTATATCCATGGGGAAGTAGAATAAGAATCTTTCCTCCGGAAGCCATGTGTGTTGTAAAAGTCAACTAAAATGCCGGGAACAGTGGGCTAGTAACCCCTTTTCCTGTAAAAATTACTAAAAAGAATAAGAAGAAGAAAATTATCAAAGTGGGAAGTTTGAATGTGCGTGGATGTTGTGTGAATGATAAAGAGATGATTGTGGATGTTATGAATGAGAAGAAGCTGGATATCCTGGCTTTAAGTGAAACAAAGCTGAAGGGGGTGGGTGAGTTTCAGTGGAGAGGAATAAATGGGATTAGGTCAGGGGTATCTAATAGAGTTAGAGCTAAAGAAGGAGTAGCAATAATGTTGAAGGATAAGCTGTGGCAGGAAAAGAAGGACTATAAATGTATTAATTCAAGGATTATGTGGAGTAAAATAGCTTGGATGTGAGAAGTGGGTTTTAGTAAGCGTTTATGCACCTGGGGAAGAGAGAAGTATAGAGGAGAGAGAGAGATTTTGGGAAATGTTGAGTAATTGCATGGGGAGTTTTGAACCAAGTGTGAGAGTACTTGTGGTTGGGGATTTTAATGCTAAAGTGGGAAAAAATGTTGTGGAGGGAGTAGTAGGTAAATTTGGGGTGCCAGGGGTAAATGAAAATGGGGAGCCTTTAATTGAGCTATGTGTAGAAAGAGGTTTGGTAATAAGTAATACATATTTTATGAAAAAGAGGATAAATAAATATACAAGGTATGATGTAGCATGTGATGAAAGTTTGTTAGATTATGTATTGGTGGATAAAAGATTGATGGGTAGGCTCCAGGATGTACATGTTTATAGAGGGGCAACTGCTATATCGGATCATTGTCTAGTTGTAGCTACAGTTAGAGTAAGAGGTAGATGGGATAAGAGGAAAATGGCAACAACAAGTAAGAGGGAGGTGAAAGTGTATAAACTAAGGGAGGAGGAAGTTCGGGTGAAATAAAAGCAGCTATTGCCAGAAAGGTGGGCTGGTGCAGGTATGAGCAGTGGGGGGGTTGAAGAGGGTTGGAATAGTTTTAAAAATGCAGTATTAGAATGTGGGGCAGAAGTTTGTGGTTATAGGAGGGTGGGTGCAGGAGGAAAGAGGAGTGATTGGTGGAATGATGAAGTAAAGGGTGTGATAAAAGAGAAAAAGTTAGCTTGTGAGAGGTATTTACAAAGAAATATTATAAGAAGACTAGAGTATATGGAGAGTAAAAGAAAGGTGAAGAAAGTGGTGAGAGTGCAAAAGGAGAGCAGATGATAGAGTGGGAGAAGTACTGTCAAGGAATTTTAATGAAAATAAGAAAAAATTTTGGAGTGAGTTAAACAAATTAAGAAAGCCTAGGGAACAAATGGATTTGTCAGTTAAAAACAGAGAAGGGGAGTTAGTAGATGGGGAGATGGAGGTTTTGGGTAGATGGCGAGAATATTTTGAGGGACATTTAAATGTCGACGAAGAAAGGGAGGCGGTAATTTCATGCACTGCCCAGGGGGGTATATCATCGTTTAGGAGTGAAGAAGAGCAGGATGTGAGTGTGGGGGAGGTGCGTGAGGCATTACTTAGAATGAAAGGGGGTACAGCAGCTGGAACTGACGGGATCATGACAGAAATGTTAAAAGCAGGGGGGGACATAGTGTTGGAGTGGTTGGTATTTTTGTTTAATAAATGTATGAAAGAGGGGAAGGTACCTAGGGATTGGTGGAGAGCGTGTATAGAGGAATAAGTTTACTGAGTATACCAGGAAAAGTGTACGGTAGGGTTATTATTGAAAGAATTAGAGGCAAGCAGAATGTAGAATTGCGGATGAGCAAGGAGGTTTTTAGAGTGGGTAGGGGATGTGTAGATCAAGTGTTTACATTGAAGCATATATATTTTATTTTATTTTATTAACACACTGGTCGATTTCCACAAAGGCAGGGTGGCCCGAAAAAGAAAAACTTTCACCATCATTCACTCCATCACTGTCTTGCCAGAAGGGTGCTTTACACTACAGTTTTTAAACTGCAACATTAACACCCCTCCTTCAGAGTACAGGCACTGTACTTCCCATCTCCAGGACTCAAGTCCGGCCTGCCGGTTTCCCTGAATCCCTTCATAAATGTTACTTTGCTCACAGTCCAACGAAGCATTTTTTTTTTTTTTTTTTTTTTTTTTCAACAAGTCGGCCGTCTCCCACCGAGGCAGGGTGACCCAAAAAAGAAAGAAAATCCCCAAAAAGAAAATACTTTCATTATCATTCAACTCTTTCACCACACTCACACATTATCACTGTTTTTGCAGAGGTGCTCAGAATACAACAGTTTAGAAGCATACACATATAAAGATATACAACATATCCCTCCAAATTGCCAATATCCCAAACCCCTCCTTTTAAGTGCAGGCATTGTACTTCCCATTTCCAGGACTCAAGTCCGACTGAGCACCTCTGCAAAAACAGTGATAATGTGCGAGTGTGGTGAAAGTGTTGAATGATGATGAAAGTATTTTCTTTTTGGGGATTTTCTTTCTTTTTTGGGTCACCCTGCCTCGGTGGGAGACGGCCGACTTGTTGAAAAAAAAAAAAAAAAAAAAAAGTCCGACTATATGAAAATAACCGGTTTCCCTGAATCCCTTCACTAAATATTACCCTGCTCACACTCCAACAGATCGAAGCATATATGTTAGCAGTATTTAGATAAAGGTAGGGAAGTTTTTATTGCATTTATGGATTTAGAAAAGGCATATGATGTAGCACGTAATGAAAGTAGTTTGTTAGATTATGTATTGGTGGATAAAAGGTTGATGGGTAGGCTCCAGGATGTACATGTTTATAGAGGGGCAACTAATATATCAGATCATTATTTAGTTGTAGCTACAGTTAGAGTAAGAGGTAGATGGGAAAAGAGGAAGGTGGCAACAACAAGTAAAAGGGAGGTGAAAGTGTATAAACTAAGGGAGGAGGAAGTTCGGGCGAAATATAAGCGACTATTGGCAGAAAGGTGGGCTAGTGCAAAGATGAGTAGTGGGGGGGTTGAAGAGGGTTGGAATAGTTTTAAAAATGCAGTATTAGAATGTGGGGCAGAAGTTTGTGGTTATAGGAGGGTGGGGACAGGAGGAAAGAGGAGTGATTGGTGGAATGATGAAGTAAAGGGTGTGATAAAAGAGAAAAAGGTAGCTTACGAGAGGTTTTTACAAAGCAGAAGTGTTATAAGAAGAGCAGAGTATATGGAGAGTAAAAGAAAGGTGAAGAGAGTGGTGAGAGAGTGCAAAAGGAGAGCAGATGAAAGAGTGGGAGAGGCACTGTCAAGAAATTTTAATGAAAATAAGAAAAAATTTTGGAGTGAGTTAAACAAGTTAAGAAAGCCTAGGGAAAGTATGGA